TGACATGTATCCAGTGAAATGTGGAGGACCTTCAAACAAGTGACTTTTTGAGAGATCCGTCCATTTTGGGCTGAGCCTGGAGCTCTGAACTAGAGATGATCCAAAATGCCCTAAATCCTTGCAGTGAGGTGACAGATCTCTGAAATAGAACTCAGGTACCTTCTAATGAGGAGGTTAGACAGCATGGTCTGAGGTCTCTGGCAGCTCTGAATCTGTGATCCTGTGAACTCCAAGCAGGAATTCATTAGCTTTATACCTGATTATTCTGCTCCAACAGTCTGGCTTTGCAGTCTTGGAATTGCCCTTCAGGGTGGTGGATCATGAGGTGATTTGTCTCCATATGGTAATGCCACTGTTATCCTCTTCAATACTTTAGGAATATACACACACATACATATTGTATGTGTTATATATGCATGTATTGTGTGTCTGTTGTATTTCATACATGTTTATATACACATATACACATGTATTCTATAACATACATATTTCACCCTCTATATGTAGTGTGATGTTTAAAAAGTTTGAGAGAGATATTTTTGAGTAATTTAATGATTTTATTAATAAGGCTAGCATGTTATTAATAAAAGAAGTCAGTGATACTCTTGAATGCCAAATACCACCCCTCATGGCAGTAGGTTTACAGTTTATATGCCCTTCAAAGGGTGGGTGTTCCTGAGGGTGGTTAATCAACTCTGATTGGTTAACAATTAATGAGAGAATGAATATTATAATGAGAGGTGGGTTATATTCCAAAAAGGGTCTTGAGGTAAGTGACTTTGATCACCCAAGTCTTGGTCAAAGAGACATCAATTTCCATATCACCTGTCTAACAAGAGGGAAAGTCCACATTTCCCAAGATGTGTCTGAATAAACCCAATGAGAAAGAATCCACCCATTAGCCTAAACTTAGAATTTCTTTTAGATCATAGCCTAGGTAAGTCTTGGAGAAAGATTTCACACATTGGTTGATTTCTGGATGAGGAAGTAGATAAGGGGGAAAACCTTGGTCCTTCTTAAGTAATTAGTTATTAATACAAGAGAGAAATAATCATTTCTTTCAATATATACATATATAAATATATAAAACATGTTATAGCTGTACCTATGAATATATATGTATGTATTATATAACACACATATTTCCCCATATAGAACCGTATAAAACATATGTGTTGGGGCTCATGGGCACCCTAAAATGTTGGGGTGCACTCGAATGATAAGGAATAGATGCATGGGTTCCAGTGTCTTGAATGAAGTTGCTCAGACTGTCTCCAAGTTAAAGAAAGGCATTTATTGGGGTGATGTGCTCAATGGGCCCTGTTCCCTGTCTCCCTGGAGACAGAGCATTGAGCCAGGTTATGTGTCTGGTCTGTATATAGTCTAAGAAGATGGGGGTGGGGGGAGGAAGCTACTACAGTTTAAGGGGGAACAAGAGAGGGGAAGGAGAGCGCTGCTCTGGAATGACACATAGTCTATATAGATATGGAAGAGAACAGGAAAGGGGGGGAGCGCTGTTCTGGAATGTCACATAGTTGCGGGGTGCTTTGTGTCCATGGTGGGGGGCTTCAAGGCATACTCTTCTTGATCCCTTTTCTGACTGGTCACATCCTGCATCTTACCTCATATCTCACATCCTTCATCCTGCTTGCTCCATCTGCCTCAAACATTCCTTTCTACCTTATCATATGTGTTTTATATGTGTGTGTATATATGTATGTATGTGTATGAATATTCTTATACACATATACATATGTATTATGTAACATAGATTCCTCTCTGTGTATGTGTATATACATATAATATAGAATATATAAAATGTACATGTTATATATGTATATATGAGTATTTATATGCACCGATACATATATATGTGTAATACACACATCTATCTCTCTCCTTCCCTCCCTCTATATGCACACACACATGCACGCGCGCGTGCGCGCGCACACACACACACACACACACACACACACATTCTTCTGCCAATGTATGTCAGCGCCCTCTTTGTGATTATTCGCATTCTGTAGCTGTGTCTTGGGGACTGACGAGTTGACTAGCTTGCCTATGCTCATGTGAGCAGAGTGTGTCAAAGGAAGGACTTGACCCGAAAGCCAGTCTCTCTACTCACTGCAGCCCACTGCCTCTGAAAGATAACTAGTTTCATTGGATGGTTGGTTTTCAGGCTTACAACCCTCCTCAGTGCCTGTGAAGGGGGCCTGGGAGACTCAGTGTGACTTTGTAGCCATCCTGGTGATGAGCCTCCGTAGAGGCTCGGTCCTCTGACAGGCGACATAGTGTCACTTTCTCAAAGCTTTTCTCATTGGCAGGTTCAACCAGTGTTTGTGCGTTGTAAGCATGACCTTTGAAGACTCAATCACTCCAGTTCCTGAGTGCTATTTTAGTGGAGAATTGGCTTTCTAGGGAGAGAGAATCCAGTGGTAGTCCTTTTTGGTTATGATTTTTCTAATGTTTTCACTTTTGTGTTGTGGATTATTTAGTTTCTCCTGAAAATGTTACCCAAGACGTGCTGTCTCATTTGTAGAGGATCAAGAACAGATGAAACAAGGAGATATTTCGAATGTCAACAAATCATAGTCCCAGCAAGATTTTCCTTTTAGCACATCCTTTACCTGCCACATCTCCTCCTCCTGTTTCTTTCCCCAGCACTCTTCTCTTCACCTAATTACTTTCTTAATTGTTTCTTCTCAAACCTTCTTCAATTTGATCAGGGGCGGAAAGGAATAAATACAGCTGCGGACAGCAGCCGAGGCAGCAGAGAACCTTTGAGATTGTTAAGTAGGTTGCTATTTACCAGAGAGCTGAACTGATGCATACGCCAACAGATTCCCTGGAAATATGGTGTTGGGCTAGCAGTTGGAGTCCCAAATTAATTTTTCACCAGCAAATATTTGTCCACAGAAATTTAAACCATTCTTAATGAGTTGACACATAAGGGGGCAGTATGGTACTATTTGCAAATACCTTCTGTTGAAATAATATTTTATATTTATTTGGGCGTGATAGATTTTATGCAGCAAGTTTTCCGAGGCTGCCGGTTGTTATGTTTGTTATCTGCTGTCTGTGAACAATAGTCCTTGCTCGTTTATTACAGGGCAGCTTTCTTGATTGACTTGTATACATTTGTTCTAGTGCAAGAACCTTTCCATTCAAGGCCTTGAATGCAGAGTTCTGCATTTATGGCATGTTTGCCACCAGTTGGCCATCTTCTGCTACCACCTGAGGAATGTTTGCTCTTGAGGAAATGCAGTATCTGTTGTGTGGTCGTCTTAAATATGTGATTACACAGTGTTCTCCATTGAAGACTGAAATCTTTTCAAGGTTCAAGGCTGTTCTTTGCAAAGCTCTGTGGGCCAGAAGGCTTCCCAGCTCTAGTTTCTGGGAGCCACTGATGTTTCATTATCAATCATCTGTGTCTAGAACACTTCTCTTGAGAGTACAGCTTTGCTTTTTTTCTCCAAAGAATTGTCAAGCAAAGAAACATCATGTTTTAATTAATGTTGCTATGTTGAGGAAGGAATGAGATTAGAGATAAATCACGGCACTAAAATTGTAGAGTTCATAAACACGAGGGAAAATGCTGAAGGAGGAATTTACTTGATTCATCTTTGAGTTTTAAATGGATAAATTTTTTAGGGGGGAGAAAGGGGTTGTGTGGGGTGGGAACTGGGCTTGTGATTTCATTGGCAATTAGGGAACTTCTGGTGAGGAAACTCCCTACAATTTTATAATATTAGAGAATTATCTGGGGCACTGTGAGGTTCCGTGCAGCCTGTATGAATTGGAATTAAGGACCTAACTGTATGGCAAGTATCCTTTATGCTACTCTCTGCTGCCTCTCAAGTGGATTAATGAAGTGTGCACAATTTAAAATAATGTCTAATAAAAGTGAAGATGAACTTAAGTGGGGAAATTTCCTAAGAACAGGCTAATTTTAAAATGTGACTAATTTTGAGGAATAATCCTCTAACTAAAATCAAGATGGAGGCTCTGAAATCAACGTATATTGTAAATAAAATGTTGTAATATTAGTGTGCTTAAGTATAAGGAGTGCTGCACAGGGGAGTTCTCCAATTAACTCTACGATAGAATGTAAGCTCTTTGGGAGCAGACATTGTTTTATTCTTTGTATTTGAATCCATGGGTACCTCGCACTTAGTAGGTCCTTAATATGTACTTATTGATTGATTGATTGACCTTTTACCATAAAGAGTATGGGCATACTTGCAGAGTATGGCACCTTACTAAAAGGCAAACTCCTAATTGATTTCCAGTTGGCTGGTGCCCCTAAAATTGGTTAGCTAGGGCTCTCAGTAGGATGGATTTTTTTTGTGTGAGGACACAGCCTTTTGCAATGGCCTGTAAAAATGAACTTCCTAAACTGCTCACTCTCTCTTCCCCTTTTTCCTGTCCAGAGAAAGCAGAAGAGTTCATTGGCCTCCTCCCAGCTTTCTTTTATAGACAGACACAGAGAGATGGCTCCTCTGATGAAAGGCCTCTTCCTAAAAGTCCAATCAATTATTCTTTTGGGCAGACCCAGAGGACTTGTCCTCTCAACAAAGAGCCAGTGGTCATGTCCATATTTTATAGGGGAGGGAAGTATACTCATCAAATTAGTTGATAAACTCTTACAACTGAATTATTCAATTTATTTCTTTTTGGAAAAGGGAAATGGGACTTTCCCATAGATAGCAAAAATATGGTACACGTTTAGATTTGGGGTCAATTTCTTTGAAGAACAGTTAATGTGCACATATTGCTTTTGCTTGTTTAATTTTAATTGAATAGGATTTTTATTTTTGTTTCCTTCTTTAAGGAAGACCCAAGGCAAATTCCCAAAACTTGAAGGAGTGGATTGTTGTTGGCTTGGCCTCCCCTTGAATGAAATCCAAAACAAATGTTGTTTGATGATGGCTTACAGTTGAATTACATACAGGTTCGGGGTAAATAATCAGTGTCTTTTATGTTTTTGATCATAGATTTTCAGGACCATGCCTGATGCCACCCTCCCTGAGCCAGTCTCCATGTCAACGTCTCCTCCGAATGCTCCACCAAGGCAATCAAAGAGACAGGGGCAGCGTAATAAGAGACCTGTAGCTGTGTACAATCTTTGTCTTGAGCTGGAAGATGGTAAGATGGTCATCATATTGCTTGGTAACACTGCAGATTGTTTGGTCATTATGGCCATCCCTAGCGATTTTCCTTTCTGTGTATTTTTGTTTCTTTCTGTCTCTCCTCATCCCACTCTTGTCATATTAGGAAATTACTTAATAGAAAGGAGTGGGGAAAATTAGGGCCATCTTATCGCTCTCCTTTTCTTCCTTTCTTCCCTCCTTCTTCCATTCCTCCCTCCCTCCTTCCTTCCTTCCTAATTTCCTTCTTTCCTTTCTTTTTTTTTCCAGAGATTATTTAGATTTCTTTTTTTGGACGAGAGGCACGTGATCTCTATTGAGATTGCACAGCCAAGAGATAAATGGAGAAAGAAGTAGAATGAATGATCTGATTTTCACCTCCGGCTGGAAGGGGCCTCAGAGATCACATAGTTCATCTTATTTTGCAAATAAGGAAATAGGCACAGATAGGGAAAGCGATTTACCTAGGGTCACACAGTACTCAGTATCAGAGACAACTGGAATTCAAGCAGATCTTTAATATGAAGCCTAATGCTTCATTTCAGGCTTCAGTTCAATATTACAGTTATGTGGATGAAAGGAGTTGATCACCGTTATTTTGATACTTTGAATATTTGATTTCATCAGTGTGGGAACTCCTGTGTGTTTTCTGTCTGATGCCATTTTACCTGCATCTCTTTGTCTTCTTATAAATCGCTCAGCCCGCAGGAAAACACTGCTGCTGCTGCACTTTATTTGCATTAAGCATAATGGAGTAGAGCGTTATTGTTCTGGTCTTTTCTGAAGACGGAAGAAGCAGAATCACGGAGTTTGAGAGTTAGAAGGGATCTCACTGGCCCTGTAGTCTTGATTCATACCTTAAAGGAATTTCTCCTGTAATACACATGTTAAGTGTTCAGAGTTATCTGCTACGGCCTCATTGTGAAAGACTCTGTGGGTTGCCCCAACGTCCTTCTTTTGTTGTCCCTCCTTCTTGCCTCCTTGGATATCTCTAGTTAAGCCATATGGTCTTTTTTGGCCTCTTCTATGAAACATAGATCCAGGATGGACTCCTGACTGCCGTGGTCAGAAATTCATTGTTTCTGACTGTCAAAACTCGATGGTCAGTAGGATATTGTATGCATAGTACCCTGTACCTCTTATTCATTCCCAGAAAGGGCTGTGATGGTTTTGTGTGCAGGTCTGTTTTTAGCAGCCCTCTGAAGTGTTTTTCTTAGATGGGTAATTAGTCTTCAATTTCATTGATGTTCTACTTCCTACCTTTCTGATACTGTTTTTCATATTTTCAAGACTCTGAGCTCATGTGACTATGAAAATATTTGATTGCTGTTCAAGGGTAGGAAGGGCTGAGGATGAAAACCACTCTGTTATTATTGGACTTCACAGTAAAGCTCTATTTAATCACCTGTCTCCATTTTACTGAAGATGCAAAACTTGCCATCCCTGCAACAAACACGAGTTACAAAAGCCTTCGATATTACTGGGTGAGACAGCTGGCTCTGTGGCGTGTCTTCAAGAGAACTCAACACATCTTCTTTGCTTTCACATCCTGGGGAGATGAGATGCTGCTGTGTTTTCAGCAGTTAGCTTAAGCAAGGATAAATAGGATATTTTAAAGGGTGGGAGCATTACTGCCAAGTCTTGATTTTCCAGAAGAATAATACTTAACAGTTGTGTGTCACTGGATCCATAATCTTACCAATGTGTGTATTTCCTTCAATGGATGCAGATCACAATCTGTCCATGCCTTCTCATCCTATGTAACTCTGTCCTTGCATGGATGTTTCATAGATGGTCTGCCTGGAACGTTGGAAGCTTTTAAAAGTTAAAAAAAAAATTTTTTTTAAAAAAAGATAGCATTTGTTGTTGCTGTTCAGTTGTTTTAATCAAGTTCAACTCTTCATGATCCCATTTGAAGTTTTGTTGGCAAATATACTGGAGTGGTTTGCCATTTCCTTCTTCAGCTCGTTTTGCAGATGATGAAACTGAGGCAAGCAGGGTTAAGTGACTTGCACAGGGTCACACAGCTAGTTAGTGTCTGAGGCTGGATTTGAACTCAGGTCTTCCTGATTCCAGGCCTGGCACTTTATTCACTGTGCCACCTAGCTGCCTTAAAAAAAAAACAAACCAGCATTGCTATCCACATCCAGAGAAAGAACTTAGGAGTCTGAATGCAGATGGAAACATACTATTTGCTCTCTTTTTCCTTTTTTTTATTTTTTATTTTATTGCTTTGTACCCCTAGTTCCTCCCATTAGTTCTAATTGTTCTTTACATCATGACTAATGGGCAACTGTGCTTAATATGAATGTATAAGTAGAGCCTTTTTCAGATTGTGTGCCATCTTGGGCCGGGGGGAGGAGAAAGAGGGGGAGACAATTTAAAAGTCAATCTTATGGAAGTGAATGTTGAAAACTAAAAATAATTAAATTAAAATTTTCAATGCTAATTTTTAATAATTAACTGCTTGGTATTCTTCAGTTTTCATTTCTATCCAACACTGGTAAACATTTTAAAATATTAGCTTTTGAGGGAAAGAGTAATTTAAACTTATATTTATTGGGGGGAGGAATATTACAATCAGAAGTTGGGTCATAGGAGGGCTCAAAAGAAATTAATGATGGAGACGACATGCAAGTGATTCTGCCTTGAGTAGATATATTTTTATGAGAGTGGCACCAAACACAAGAATATCAGTAACAATGCAATGTTATCTACTCTTAAAGCCATATGTTTTAAGTATTTGGGACAGTATTGAGCAGGACCTAATCTGATACACACACATACATACACATATGAATGTGCACTGATGTACAGATTGACAGAGATATGAAAAAATGATCCAGCAGCGTGAAGCCAGTGCCATCTGGCAGACCAGGCCAATGTCTTCATTGTGGAAGTGGTCCGCATGTTTCCTGTGGCAATGTTTCAGATCTGTGTCCAACCACAAATATTCTTATTTTCAGGTGATATCACTTTTCTAACAATAAGGTAATTTTGTTTCAAAGAAAGAAAACTGTTGCCAAATATTTATCTACTTGAATCTCTCTTGGCATTTTTATTATTTAGTTGGTATTTGTTCTACTTTTTTTTTTTTTTGCTTTGTTAAGCTTTGTAATCATTTTATTGGCCCTCCTTGACAGACGGTATTATGAGAGGGGGTCATTTTGCCAGATGAAGAAATTGAGGCCAGACAGGCACAGTAACTTGCAAAATTATTGCTAGAGCCAGCCTAGCCTATGATCTCTCTTTCCATTGTTTTGGCAATGGAGCCATCTCTCTCTTTGACATGAAAGGATGTTAAAATAAAGTAATGAATTACAATATGAAATGAAGAGAAATCATTTTCAAACTCTTTCGTTTTAGATCACATAGGCTATTTCTATATTCACTGTGCCAGAGCTAGGTTTTGAGTCATTCAGGAGGACAATTGGTAATCTAGAGATCCTAGATGAGTGTTTATACTATTAATTGTCTTTTATGCCTCTTAATTACCAGAATTCCTTATCGAGTTGCTGCATGTTATGCATAGATATTTTCGTGGTTCTGTGGCCCAAGTATGAGGGATGAAGATTGAAATTTTTCTATAGATCTTTTTTAGGCTTCCTTTGTTGATATCTTCATGCAATTATTTCTTCACAAAAGACACATCCAGTGTACTGGAGGCCTTCTTTTATGGTTTTTTCTTATTTTAAAAATAATTTGAGGGTGCCAGTGTAAGTAGGGCAGCTAGGCGGTGCAGTGGATAGAGGACTGAGCCTGGAGTCAGGAAGACTCATCTTCTTGAGTTCAAATTTGACTTCAGATACTTACTAGCTGTGTGACCCTAGGCATGTCACTTTACCCTGTTTGCCTCAGTTTCCTCATCTGTAAAATGAGCTGGAGAAGGAAATTGCAAACCACTGCAGTACAGTATCATCTACAAATCAGACAATTTTGAGATCCTAGCTTTTGATTAAACATCCCTCTTTATTTTTTGGACTCTCTATAGGACATCTTCCGTGACGCTCGCCCATGTTAGAATAGCGTATATCTACCTGTTTGACTCCTTGATTGAGGTCTGTATTCAGTGACTGATTAAATAAAATTCTCTGTAGTCAGAAAGCCCCTTGAGGGCAGGGACTGTTTTGGTCTTTCTTTGTATTTCCAGCACTTAGTACAGTGCCTGACACATAGTAGGCACTTAAATCCTTGTTGACTTGACTATCAAATTTACATACATAGGAGATGCTTTTAGGAGGAGCCTATACCAAGCCAGATTGTTTTTAATAAATCAATAAGCAGTAGGTATAGTAAGGTCATAATTATGTTGTCTGTACCTCTGAGTCAGTTGTGTGACTGTTATATATTGTTTGCTGTAGAAAAAACTTCCTGTTTCAATTTTTTTATCAAGGTACATAGACCATTCTCAAGTTTTATGGAGGTAAGAAAATAATTATTCAGTTCAGTAGTTGTTAATGTTTCCTTAAGTCACTTAAAACAATTCTGTAAAGACATTTTCTGTCATTTGCCCCCATTCTTTTGGAATCTTCTGTCTGAGAAATTTTGTAAATGAGCTCCTGAGAACCTTTCAGTATGGCTTCTTTGTGATCTGTTTGCCTGCCATTGTTATTAACATTGAAGGGCAAGGTGGCCAAGTGTTCTAACAAATGCTGTTTTTGGTTGGCTTTCTACTTGCACAATGTAAACCAATTCCACCCCCTTCTTTATCTTCCTGTCTGAGGAGGACTTGGGAGCCATCTGGTCACTTAGTTACAACTTTGGGTTTCATTCGTAGTGAACATGTTAATCTGAGTGTGATTCAGTCCTTCTGGGCAGAGATGTCAACTTCTTGGCTGTTGGAGAAAGATCATCCGTGTTAAAAATGTCATGGGTGTTTGTAGATGGTTTAAGAACCATAGCATCCGTCTTAGCTCCTTGTTTTTTGCCTTTGTGCCACCATTACTGCAGGGGTGGAAAGGGACTACAGAGGACCAATGGACATTTTGTATTTTTGTC